GTCTCAATTCCATAACGTGAACTTCTGAAACACATAATTCTGGTATCAGATGATTAATACTTACCTACATAAATAATAGACTGCAATCGCAGCAACAATACATATTAACAGCATTATAACTGTTGCTAATATTTTACAGTTACCTGAAGAAGAACAAAACGAAATGCTTAGGTACGTTATATTCAAAGATTGTATACAAATATAAGTTTGTCGAAATAAAATGTGTGAGTGGTTTATGTGTTTGAGAAAAGTGATATATCTGGTAATAATTGTAGCGAAAAACATTATTATTTTTAAATATATTGTTAAATCACTCTCTACAAGTTATACTTTGTTTATAGTTTAGTTGCTAGATCAAAATATGCAAATATACATAATTGATGTGGAACCTATCATAACTATCAATGTGTAGTACAATCCACGTCATACTTGAGACAACAGTTTCGTGGTTCTCCAATAAAAATTCACACAAGCGAGTAACAATTGTCGATGATGCAGAGTTACATCTACAACGTTGTGTCTTGAAAAAAATCAATCTGCAAACCAGTATTATTGCATATCGTGATGCCTGTCAATGTATTTGACTTTATCCATTGTGTTGCCGTGTGTTTATGTTTTCGCCAATAGGAATCTGAATAATTTCTATACAATTTTATATATAATAATTTCTATATTTACATAAGTAAATATGTAAAACATAAACGTAGTTATAGTTTGCCCGTTTTGTTTGATAAAAAGGAGTCAATTAGAAGGCTTATTTGAAGAGGCGACATTGTGTAATTCAGCATAAATCATGCCTTTAATTACATCTTTTTTATTGTTAACTTTCCAAGCGTATCTTCTATATTATGTACAATAGGTTGAAAATACTATTATGACTAGAAGAAGGACAAAATAGTTTATTTTAGTCTAGAAGGCTGTTTTGTGGTTTCGCTTGTAACTGGCATTTTTTTTCGTATAAAGAAGAACTAAGTGAAATCAACAATTACTAGCTGTCACACAGTTACTTTTTTGTACAGAGATCAACTCGACAACTGTTTTCATATAACTACACGTCGTAAAGAGGAAAAAAAACAGTTGCAGCATTTACTATATCATATCAAATTTATGTACTACATAAAATAACAGTATTAGCGATACTGTTAATAATTCATATTCAACATAATTCAACATTCATAAAAAAAAACTTTATAACTACCGTACTAGCATGTAAATATGGAATAGCTCAAATATGAGCAAATTCATTACTAGATATATACTACTCCACTGACAGCCACAAACTAGACATGATATAGAAATACTGCAGACACCCGTACATTCAATTACAATAAAAGACCACCGGCAATTGTGTTGAAGAGGTAGATGTCAGCAAACCCTGTTGGAGAGAAGGATTCACTGAACTTTGTATGCGACCTTCACAACTAATTATAAAAAAACATAGGCCATTACAAAGGATAAATACACTAAAAAGACCCACATGCAAATATGAACACAATTCTGCTACTGAGAGGTGTCATGGTAGTTCGAAATAAACCTTTCATAAAAAACACAAGCCATTGCAAAATATGTCTGAGTAGTCAAAAGTAACACACATTTTAAAATAGGAAGTGCCACCTATCTTCGTATACGATTTTAAGTTTTTCACCCATGGTAACTGTAGACATCGACATCTCGTAAACAAAGATAGACTTTTGCAAGAAATTTAAGAACAGTAAAATGACTACCATAAGATAGACAAAATGATGATTTAAATGTAAAAAGTAATTAGTTAACTGAATACAAATATAAGACTGTCCTTGTGTTTTGAACATTCTCATTTCTCATTTAATGCACTATCTGCAATATTATAAAGATATATTTTCAAATAAGAATAAATAAAATACATTAAAGAATATTACAATACAATCATATCCCTTGATAAATCATGCATCTTGTTAAACCTCCCATGTCCAGTTGTTGATAGAGCGTGACAACGATGAGACAGGTATTTTTCTTTATATATCTTTCTCTTCAATAGTGGTTGGCAAAATTTGAGAATGATCAGACAAAAATTGTTTGAATTATTATATCCACAAAACGAGACAATTTTAAGTTAAATTTCGCCAATATTTTGAAAAATAAACAAACTTTGCAAACCACAATTGAACTTGGAAAATATGAAAATTGCAAGAGTTATTGTAATCACAAGACACAGTAACGCCGACAACGACAATACAGACATTTTCCCCTCACATAGCTTGTCTTTCATTAACATTTTGGGCAAGCTAAAATGAAATGACAACCATAATTTTGTTACGAATTATATTGATATTGAATGTATTTTAGAACTCATTACACGCTATACATATAATTAGATTAGATTATATTGTATTTTGTAAGCCTCATTACTCCGTTTAATTAAATGACCTAATAACATATATTTCAATGAATTATGATTTGAAATGTTTGCCGTTTAAATCGGCCATATGAGATATCATTATTGTTAAAGTGAAAATTCGTATTACATTTGTTATCTTCAGCCTGGCTTTCCGAATAACTTGGTGTAGTGGGGTCATCTACGTCTGTGACAGTAACATATACAGGAACAGTACTACAAACATAAAATAATAATTATAATCATAAATTCGTACAGCACAATCGATAATGACATGTCTGAGATACGGCTCTGAATTGGCAATTTTGGAAAACAAAGTGATCATTCGTCGGCCATTAAAGATCAAATCTGTGCAAAACACGACTACGTGATGTTTCTAAATATACAAAGTTTGCAAACAACTGCCATTTATAAGCCTGGGAAAATGTTAGAACTGTTTTTACATACAGTTTTTACTTATGTTAGAATGGTTTCACTTATGTGTATTGTATGAAATGTTATAGTATCATCACCCACCTTGACTTAGGTCGTTCACCTCCATCAGTAACGATAACAGTCAAATTGTAAAATGGTGTTACCTCAAAGGAGTCCAGCGAATTACGAGTGGATATATTGGCAGTAACTGGATCGATCTCAAATATTCCCTGAATAACAAAACAACACACGATTACATGAATATGGAAGAAGTGTATTTATAAATGGGGGTAATTAGAATATAAGTGAACTATAGTGAACGACGTGTTTTCACAAAATCAATCGCCTCCTAGGTGACACACACTAATTACAGTGATCGATTTACCCTCTCATTTCCTTCTTCGGCAAGTGAATACCATCATCGATATCAATAGCTATGATGTCTAGGTCGAGAATTGAACCAGGTGGTAGATCTTCGGGTACCACTGTGGAGTATTCATCTGTGGGATATATAATGTTATTACGTCATGTATATCTGCAACAACAAATCTCCAAATAATCTGTACCATATGCCAAACATTATCCCGAGCATGGAATTATGTAATTTCAAACACAGTTTTGAGCATTAGTAATTTATTGGAGCAATCGTTGTGGCATCTTCGCCGGCCAAGGTTCGTTTATTTGTACATCGCCTCATTACTGCAATATGGCAGATGCCATATACCCAACGTATAAGTATGGTCCGATTAGGGCTTCGTCTGTCTGTATACACGGTAGCGTCGGTGTACATGCCGGACACTAACACCGCCATGCAACCCTATTGGCAATACGGTAAAAGTGAAAAGAGGGTATATTTGGGTATATATGTCCGGCTGGAAGAACAAAATAATCTTCGATTTCGGCCAAACAAAATACCTTCAAGGACGATTACATGATATTTGTCACTCGACAAAAACTTAAAGCTGTTATGCCTTTCTTTTTAAATATATGTTGTACCGTTTTGAGAAAAACAATTGTGATTGGGAACTTGTTCTATTTTCACCGGAAATTGATTGATACATCACGATACTCATTTAATAAGTTTATATTATCTTTCCCACAGATACGGTCCAAATTGTGCGCACACACAAACCGTTCTTTCCAAACGTACGTGCCAAGGTTTTTGCAAATCAGTTAGCTAGTTTGCCAATTAGGCAGCAAATTCTTTTAGCCATTTGAGGTCATCTTATGGAATTTTGAAATACCAATGTTGTTGGGGCGTAGGAGTGTATGGCAACTCTATGTAGCCCATTGACATATTCTGTGTATATCGTTTTGTACAGACTTATTTGTATTTGTGCTAAATATCATTTTGTTATTCACTCTGAATTGTAATTTGTTAAAGTCTTTCACCTTCATAACACAATTTCTTGACACATTAATTCATATCATAGCGAGTATATTATATATGATTATATATAACTTATACAGGGCCAAAGATCACAATAAAATGGCAACAATAGTTTCCCTGCCCTGATTTGATCACAAACAATAATATAAATTTTTAGCAAGCATTGCACGTAGAACTAAATAATATTGACCATTCTTAAGTCGGCCTCTATAGTGTATTCAATGAAAGAAACACCAGTAAATGGGATTATGCAATCAATAATATTTTGAGCTGTAATATTAGGATAATGGCATCTTATATGAATCCGGATATTATACTGAAGTCAAGTAATTGAGAAACAATTTCCTAATTAATCAATTATTTCTAATTATTTCACTTACGAATATAATCCTGTAGTTCGATGTGGAAAACTTTTCGAGTCATTAGCAATACTCATCATGGCGCGGGGAATGGTATTTTCTGTACAGTCGCAGTTTTTCTTCCGTGGACTCAGGGTGAGTATTCATCAACGCTATTTGCAAGTCGTCAATATAAAGATAATGTTATTCATATACGTTATATGATCAAGAAATTATATTCAACAACTGCAGTTATAGAACAACGAACATATAGATACATTTTAGGAGAGTAAATCTGTCGTAATCAGTCACCATGCTGTTAGTAAATAAAAAAAAACATATGTTCGTCCTCAAAATATTATCAGGTACTTGCCATAGGAAACATAATCTTTGATAAATTTTGTACTTTAAAGATGTTAGAGTAAGCTGCCAGGTGACTACAGAATCAATTGAAACTACAGAATCAAAAGTAACAACATAACTCATGGTAAATACAGAAGCCACAGTTACTACAGAACAAATGGTAACTACACAACCACGCGTAATTACCGACCCCAATGTACCTACAGAACCCAATGTGACTACAGAACCCATGGTAACTACGGAACCCAAAGTAACTACAAAACCCACAGCAACTACAGAACTCAATGTTGCTACAGAATCAACTCTAACCACAGAGCCCTATATAACTACAGAAATAATGGCAACTACAGAACCCAATGTAACTACAGAATCAATGGTAACCACAGAACCCATGGCAACTACAGAATCCAGTGTAACAACAGAACCCAGTGTAAC